AGCTAGTACACCGTTGTCGCTTGCGAAATCAAAATGACGGCGCCGTGGGTGCAAACGTACAGATTAAGGGGCGGTAATATTATAATGAGATCCCTTTGCCACGTCACCAAGGGAGCGAAATCAGACGCGCTCGTTTTCTCAGACGCTTGCAGAAAAAGGCTTCCCAAAACAAAGTTACTGGGTTAATCTTTTTCACGATTCCTTGATTGGTAGATGCACCGGGGACCTGATTATAGCACTTAAAACCTGGAAAAGTCAGATTTTCATGATATTTCACCTTTAAGAAACGCAAGTTTGTGCTCTTCGATTTTTAACAACAATGTATTTATAAACTGTGTATATGTAAAATACATACGTATGTATTTAAAATTGCAAAATGTAAAATAAAATGTGAGTGTAATATCATTACAATTTAAAATCACACAATTTAAATGTGTGTGTATATATATATATATATATCTACACACACACACACACACACACATACATACACTGTATAATCACACTGTATACATATAAACATTAATTTAAAACGTTCTTTTTGTGAACAACCCAACTGACAACACAGTAAACAAGCTAAATAGACAAATACATAAAAACAACCAACCATTTTGTTATTATCGGTTGGTTTTGCTTAAAATATGATATTTAATGCACTATTTCACATCTGTTTTCACTTTCTATGACACGCTGTCAGCCCTTAAGCACGTTCACAACCGAGATACACCGAACAGATCGAGTTTAAAAGCATAAAATATGTTACAGTGACTGAACATAGAGAAATGTCCTGTCTGTGAAACATGGACAATATAAACCGAGTTAAACGATTGACTGTGTGTGTATAAAGATTCAATATAGCGCAGTAGCAGCAACAAAATATTCATTCATATTCAGTAAAGATTCAGTGTAATGTAAACAAACCTGTGTCCTGCGGCTCCAAGTTACAGCGTGTTGTCAATCACTCAGCGTGAGTGGAAATGCGACAGAAAGTAAAAGAATAACCCGCTGCTGTTGATGTAGATCAGAGTCAGTTACAGAACACGCCTTGTTATGACTATAAAGGCGGGATACAGTCGCGACCTAACCCGTCAAACTCTTTATGAACGATGGATGGAAATCCCGCAACCGGAGCTCCGCTGCCGAAATGACCAACCATACTATGGAGAGACTCGACTCATGAATATTAATTAGGCAATTCTGACGTTGCTTAGTAACCTTTTTGAAGCGTCCAGTCAGATGACCTAATTAATATTCTTGCGTCACGCCGTCACTATAATGAGACTCGCCAACTGACTTAACGCCCGCCTTGTCGGCCAATCAGGTAGGACTACAAACCAAACGTCACCTTACGTATTTAATATTCATATGCAAAGCCGTCAGCGTAGTAGAATTCGTAAAATAAGCTCCCAGAGCTGAAAAACATCTGGATTAAAAGGTGCAAAATCTATCCGTAATAACTTAAAAGTACTATAAAGAACACCTAAACTGATTTTTACTGGACTAATTAAGGTTCATCGACAGTAATTAATATACATTTTATTTTGTATATGCTCTTGACTCTACATGTGTATTCAAACTCTGAAAAAAACGCCGCCTAGTGTTTATTTCTGATTACTGACATAAAGGCCATCATTACTACTCTAAAATAAAAAAGCGCCAAATATATATATATATATATATATATATATGCACTTGTACATGCATTTACACTGCACTTACAACTATTTCCTATTGAACTGTCACCAACTGAATTGCAGTGATCAAACTATTTAAAATAAAATTGATAAAGCTGCAAACTCCATCATAATGCACAATGTTTCAATCTATTTTGAGGTGCAGCTCGTCATATTAATGGAGTGCTTCACTAGTTAGCTCACCTGAATGTGTTCGTAAATTTGTGGTGGATGTGGAAAGCAGTTATCTTCGGAATGGAAATATGGATATTTTATTTATATAGATATATCATACTTAGTTATTTCGCTTTTCTCAGTTCATCTCATAACATCAGCGAGCTAAGCCAGTAGTAGTACTGACAAGTGTCGAATAAACATGGTTGAAGACGCGAAAAGCGGAGGAATAGACAAACCGATTCATTTAAGCTCGAACCACTCCGATTGATTCAAACTCATGCTTCACTAGTAAAACCCAGTTCAAATGTACCATTCATTTCCGAATTTTGACATCGCTAGTAATGCTTTTAAAAAGCACGTAGTGATGGTGAAATGGAGCTTTTCAAAACGCTGAATCGGTTAAATCATTGCATCACAAAATGATTCACCGTTTCGAAGCGCTCATATCGCGAATCATTTGATTTAGATTCGGGACTTCGGAGTGCATATCACGAATTGGGACCGGATTTTGGAGTGCTTATCGCAAATCATTCAGATGGGAACTAAGCAGGTACATGAATCTTCAGATCGGAACTTCGAATCGGGACTTCGGAGCGGGTTCGTGAAACATTTGATTCAGATTAAAGGGGTCATATGATGCGATTTCAATTTTTCCTTTCTCTTTGGAGTGTTACAAGCTCTTGGTGCATAAAGAAGATCTGTAAAGTTGCAAAGACTAAAGTCTCAAATCCAAAGAGATATTCTTTATAAAAGTTAAGAGTTAGCCACACCTACCTAAAACGGCTCGTTCGAACACGCCCCCACATATCTACGTCACTATGTGGGAAGATTTGCATAACCCCGCCCAAATGTTCACGCAAAGAAAGAAGGGTAACTTTTATTCTTGCTGTAGTATTGTTGTTGCTGCCGCCATGTCGTGAAGCGAATAATTCTTAAAATATAAGGTTACATTGCAAGTAAAATAAAAAAGTAAAAATACTCTTTTTAATGAATGTATTAACACAAAAGAAAGCTTTTATTGGACAATGAATTAAACATTTAAAACTCAAATATTTAAAAAATAAAAAATAATTCAAACAGATGCTTCTATAAACTGGTGAACTGAACCGATTGATTCACTTTGAGAACGTTTCTGGCCTGTTTTATTGTAGTTCTGCAGCATCAAAATGATAATATGATCATTATTTAAAAAATAAAAGTTACAAGTTCGTTTACACATAATATAAACACATCAAAACACAAATTCTTAAAACATAAAAACCATTTTAGTCCCCAAAATCTGCTAAATGCAGAGGTACAAATGTTTCCAAAGAATGAACTGTGGACATCTACGGACATTTTCACCCACAAGTTGTCTGTTAAAACTCTTAAGATCAAAAATTGGCAAAGAGGTGGACATAAAGACAAAAGCAGTCCTATCTCAACAAAAAAATAATGTTTAAAGTAAACCTGATCGGTTCAATCTAAGCGGCACAAGCTCTTCACATCTGCACTAAAGACACAAACCGTAATCTGGAGATCATAACGCAGTGAACGTCTTGGCACAATAAGGACCCAGTCTGTTCTCTGCTTTGTGTTTCCAGTGGTTTTGTATCATCTATATGCTCTGAAAGCAACGCTACATTCTTCCATCCGCCAATGATGATGATGAGGAAGAAGAGGTTGAATTCATGTCCTCTTCGTTGGCGCCACAGGTGTCCACCAGACAGATGAGGCAGCTGGTGACGGGAAACGCGCGGACTTTACTGGAAACCACCCATTTGTCGGTCTCTGTGTAATACTCCATGATGTGCCCCAGACGGCCGACCCCCTGAAACCCGGCCAGAACGTAGATGACGGAGCCCACGGCCGCACACTTCACCGTCACGCCGCGCCACGGCATCGGAGACGCCATCTTCCACTCGTTACTGCCGATCTCGTAGTACTCCACCGAGTCCAGACCGCCTGAGAGAAACATCACCGTCACATAGTGTGCTGACCTTTAATGACCTGGAATGACTTCAGAGAGGCCATATGTGACCCTGGACCACGAAACCAGTCATAAGGGTCCATTTTTCGAAATTGAGATTTATACATCATCTGAAAGCTGAATAAATAAGCTTTCCATTGATGTATGGTTTGTTATGATAGGACAATATTTGGCCGAGATACAACTATTTGAAAATCTGGAATCTGACGGTGCAAAAAAATCTAAATATTGAGAAAATCGCCTTTAAAATTGTCCAAATGAAGTCCTTAGCAATGCATATTACTAATCAAAAATTAAGTTTTGATATATAAACTACATGTACATTTCCTATATATATACAAATTTACAAAATATCTTCATGGAACATGATCTTAATATCCTAATGATTTTTGGCATAAAATAAAAATCTATAATTTTGCCCCATCCAATGTATTTTTGGGCTATTGCTACAAATATCCCCCAGCGACTTAAAACTGCTTTTGTGCTCCAGGGTCACAAATCATATTTTTTTATCATTTATCATTTCTTAAGGGAATAAATGCATAGGGACAGGGTTTTTCCATAACAAAATATAGTCAAAACTTAACTGATAAAAGTAAAGATACCCCTACCTTCTCAATGACAGTATCAAAAGGATAACTAAATAAATATATTTATTTATTACAAGTAAATTAAATAATTATATTTGTTCTAATTATATTCATATTTTTAGTATATATTAATATTTTATATTTTGAAGATTTAATTAAAATAGTTTTTTGT